AGAAATAATGGATAGGGCAATGCAACGTTTGCCGGGCCAGCTAGTTTTAAATAAAAACCTCAATTATTATATGAACATAAAAAAAAGTTTATATTTAAACTATATTCCTTTTTTTTAATCTTACAGGTAAAAATATGGTTTCAAAACCATCGGTATAAATGCAAACGACAGGCAAAAGAAAAGGCCATGGCAGAACAAAATCAGCACAATCAAGTAAGACGAATGCATTCTAATGAAGTTATAATTTGGTGTATCTCACAAAAGAATTGATTATTTGACCACATTCAATAATTGTTCATAAATAATTCCTATAGAAATATTACATTAAAAACTAGTAAGAACGTTGGAATCGGGCGTTACTGACTACGGAATACTCATTCACACCCCAGCAGCAATTTAGTAGCCAAGTTTAGCTCTAATACTGTAGAAAATTAGGTTTTCCTTGATTTTCCACGCCCCTACAAGGCGTAGGCCCTTCATTGTTGGCCAGCTCATGGAAACAGCTATCCGTAACCTAGCAGCAAAATGTATATGCCTTACGCTCAAAAAATGAAAAAATACAGTGTATTTTAGATGTGCCACGCCCCTAAAGAGGAATAACAATATAATTTGGGAATCGATTGAGGAGGTTATACTAGTAACTCAACTATCCAAATTTGAAGCTTCTAGCTCTTACACTTTCGGAGATATAAACTTTTGCGGTTTGCCACGCCCTTTGGGCGGACATATGTATATCTACCAAAACTTTTTGGTCTTGGGAGGTCAGCCCGAGTATACATACCAAATTTCAGGTCTCTAGAATCAATAGTGTCCAAAATATAGCAGTATTTGAAAAATCACTATATCTTCAGGTCCGATTTCATTAGCTTCAATAGCGCCGAAATAAACTGCGTTCATACGGACAGGCAGACGGACAGCAAGATGGACATTGCACAAAACCAATTCACTTTCGGGTTTTTATTAATGATTAATAAACTTATATGGTTAATTATAAGGCACCCATGAACAACAACATATAATAGGCAATAGGCAACAATAATAGGTTGACATATAGATCAAGAATGAGATCTGTCACATCCCTTATGGAAGTTACATTTAGTCATTAGTCATTATACCCAAATTTCCCATTTACTCTGTTTTTCGCGTAAACAATATACAGTAGAATTCGGATATAACGACTCCGCTTAGAGCGTCTGTACGGTTATTGCGACGAAATAAATAATATATCGTCTTCCAGGTATAACGACGGTATCTTGAGTGCCGCGCCGTATACGCGTCGTTCTAACCGGATTCTACTGCATATACATATGTAAATACATATACATATACTTCAGATTGAATTAAAATTTTAATGTCCTACCTTGTAAAATCAAATAAAACTAAATTAACATACATATATATTTTCTATTTTTATGTGTTCTCTAGTCTGCAAGCTCGCCAAGGCGCGTTGCTGTTCCAGTTTTAGTAAAAGATGGCAAGCCATGCCCGGGAGCAGGCAATTCAATACAACAGCAAACACACACTAATAGCTCAACAGCGTCTGGAAACAACAGCAATAATAGCAGTGGAAACGCAAATGGGGTAGCTGGAACGAGTTCAGTTACAAGCAATATACCCAGTGTTTTAAATCTGATCCCTGGAGATGCGCCTAACTCACACTCCCCTGACACATCATCATCTTTGATAGCAAGTTACAGTGGGACAGTTGGAGGTTCCAATGCTTCTATGTTACAACAACCCTGCAATAATGCTCTAATGTCTAATAGTTTAGCTATGGCCTATCGAAACCAAAACAATTTTATTTCGAATGGTCATCAACAACAGTGTGCTGGTTACTTGCCATTGCAAGGTAGAGCATGGTAAAGTTAGAATTATCATTAAATTCTTTCGGTTCTATAAAGTGTACTCAATTCAGTTATGTGTATATTATTTTCTAATAAAATACATTTTTAAAAAGCTAATGCTGTTCTAGATTTTACTTTCATAAAATGAAATTTTTGCTTTATATGCTATTATAAGATATAACTTAAAAAAGAAAAAAATAATAATTTAATAATTATAGTAATAAATGTAAATATTCATAGGTCAATGTATTAACAATAAATTGAAATTTTAAGATTGAGTGGTTTACAAAAATGAAATTATATTGAATTGTGTAAAATCAAGATTATTTTTGTTGAATACTAGCTTACCGGCGATTTCTATCAATTTCGAACATATTTGCTCGGCTCGGGTTTGCTAGGTTCGGGCTACGAAAATATACGAAAGCACAATCATTCCGCTTCATGCGGTCGACCGAGATGGTCAAACGATTTGAAGAATTCGGTATACTCTTCGCACAGGAGAAGACATGGGTTCTTGCTGCGAAGAAATTAAAATTTTTGTGAGCTGTCGCTTGTGCTCACATGCATACATACATATACATGTTTGAGAGAGCAAAGAGCAGAGAGAGCGAGAGAGCAAGAACAAAAGTTGAGCATAGATGGATCTTTTATTCAACATTTGACTATCTCGGTCGAGCGCATGAAGCGGAAGGATTGTGCTTTCGTATATTTTCGTAGCCCGAATCTAAAAGTGAAGAGCCGAGCAAGTACTAAATTGATAGGCCCTAGGAGACAGATTTTTCGGTGTTGAAAAACTTTTGACTACATGTGTAGTCTATGTGTTGTTTGGTCAATGCCTAAACTCAAAGGGCATATCTGTTGGATTCATCGCAATCCTTGGAATAAGAACTTCCTCATCTTTAAGTTTCCCTTTGAGTATCGACGCGTGAATCACTTTTCTCATCAGTTTTCTTATCCCCAAACGGGTTCCATTGCACAGCTTTGGTTGGTTTAAATTTCTAAGCATGATAACTACCGAGCCAACCTTCAGTTGTA